ACCTCCAGGGCAGGCGGGAATCGAACTCATGCGGAAGCGGCTTTAGATTCTCAGTGTTGTGCTTTAACCCGCTGCGCCACCAGGGAGGGCCCAGAGTGCACTTTTGATGCAGGACTAGGGTGATTTCAGATGGGCATCAGCTGGTTTTGTTCACATCTGATGTTAAAACTTCCTTATTACCCGCTTGGAGATATCCTTCCTTTCCCCTAGTATGCAGTAAAATGGACTTGCTCAATGCAACAAATAGATAAGCTTATTTGATGGGACAGGAAGACACCTGTCCTGTTTCACTGAAACATAATCTAAACAGGTTGCTAATTTAAATCAATTACATGATATCAAAAAATAAAAGAAAACTTGGACAATTATATTTAAACAAGGTTTGTGGAGAAAGCATGTTTGATATAAAAATTGAGAACCCACTTAGAGACATGATTCAAATTAATATTTTCATGCAAAAACCCAGATACAATAATTGTTAACAGAAAAGAGTTAGCTTACTATTATGGTTAGAATCTCACTAATAATTTGTAAAATAAACGCCCCAGTTAGAGGATAAATATTCAATTCAAAGAAGAGAAATGCACATCATAAGCAGTATAAAGAACTATTAGCTACACTAATTATCAGAAAAATAAAATTAAAGACAGTTTTTGCCTTTTTTGGAAGAATAGTAATATTATTGCTAATGCCACAGGAAAATAAACTTTTATAAGCTGTTAATAGAAATATATTGGTAAAACTTTTTTTTTTTAAGATTTATTTACTTATTCATGCAGAACTGGGGTACAGGCCAGAGATGTGGAGGGTGAGAGGTTTCACCATAGAGAGAGCGGCAAGCAGAACAGGCAGATCAAGGAAGTACACTGCTGAGGGGAGCAGCGGGCGGTCAGGAGAGGTCTGCCCCATGTGGTCACTTCCCAGGCAGGCAGGATCAACTCATGCGGAAGTGGCTTTAGCTTCTTAATGCTGTGCTTCAACCCCGCTGCGCCACCAGGGAGGGCCTGGTAAAACTTTGTTAATGGTGATACCTATTAAAATGCTCAAGTATTCATTCAAAGTTGAAATATATCATGGTCTCAAGTGTGCAAATAAAAGTGTGTGCCCAAGATGATCACAGAAAAATCGTTCCTAATACATAAAAGTTGGAAAAAATTCCATATCTATTGGTGATTACATAATATGTGATACATCTAAAAGTGGAAGGTACAGACTTTAAAACGTGATTAACTCTTAATGCCCTAATGTAGAAACATGTAAAATATATTTTAAAATGAAACACAAACAGAACTGAAAGTTTGAACATGATATATGTACATATCTATATATACTCATAGTTGTATATGACAACACTTTATAAGTAGTAATTTAGAATGTAGACAGAATTATATATTATGTATATTACATTCTAAACTCTCCTGCAAGACTGATGGAATTCTGGCCCAGGTTTGGTTAAGATTGTCATTTGAGCTGAGAATCTGAGTGAAGTTTGATAAGTCAACTCATTCCACCCCTTTAGTATTCACACACCTATGGCATTCTTAGTTCCTTTCACATCCATTCTGTCAACATAGTGGTGACTTTGTACTCTACTTGAATACTACATACAAACACATTTTGTACATTGATATCAGGGTGACACATTGGAAGAACTGTGAACTTTGGATTTAGACGTACTTGACTATAATGGAGTTTATAATCACATACTAGATATTTGTTATTACAGGTGCTCTATGAAAGGTGCTCATATTTTCTGGTGTTTTGTAAGCATTAAGTATATTATAGCTATTGTTGATGTTCTTGTTCTTTGTCATCACCAGAACTCAGAAATCCTGAAATTCATTTCACTGATAACTTTTCTTGTTTTGATTGAATTCACGAGATTTTTCTGCCACCCACTTCTTACTTCAAATCTCATCTCACTTTCCAATTTATTTCTCTAAGTTATTCTCATAATGTTTATGTATTTTTTAAATGTTTCGTATGTCTTCTTCTGGCCTCTTGTTAAAGAGAACATGTACCAACCACTTTGAACTTTTGATTCCTAACCTCTATTTTTTTTCTTACCATTTCTCCCATCATCTTCCACTTTTGCTCAGTTAATGGCATCACAATGAGCTCAATTCTATATCTGAGATTTCACCCATGACACCTCATCTTCTGGTTTACTGCTCTATTTTCTATATCACAGTGTCTGTTTTGTACTAGGAGGTTAGTAAATATTCTTGAACTAATGAAAGAATGAAGGTAATGATGCAAAATACCTCAGAACTTCTTACATGTACTCCTGAGCAAACATAATTTTTAACATATTTATTTTTTTTTCAGGATTAATTGGAATTCCTTAAAATGTCAGGTACATTTTTGTGAATAAATTTTAATGTACTTTATTTGGGATTGTTTTCATGCAAAAATAGTCTATGTCATTCTGAAATATTGTTAAAATTTTGAAGATAACTACATGTAAACATATTTACATATATTCTTATACATTATATGTATATGCATTAAGCAGGTGAGCATCCCTATCTATCTTTGACAGAAAAGGATTCAAAGATATATATATATAGTATTGAAGTATATGAGGAAAATTAGGTAAAGGGAAAAAAAAAGAAAAAAGAGTAGGAACGTATGATTGCAAAAAGGAGTATAATAAGTAAAAGCCTACAAAGACAGTCTTCGCAAAGTAGGGCTCAAATGTCACTTCCTATATTTTCAAACAATGCAAGAGATGCTATAAGGAGATGGTAAAAACAGAGAAACATTTTTTGGTGGGATTTGTGTTTTTTATAAGATAAAAGTTAACCAGCTAAGGATTGGGAACTTTTCCTTATAATGGGTTTTCTTTGCTCATTAAATCTTAGAAAATGAGTTGCTGCTTCTCTTGCAGTTATGACAGGGAGAATAAACATGTGAGTCATGGCAAATGCAGACTAAATCATCTCTGATTGTGTTCCATGTGGCACCAATGATATCTGAGCCACTCTCTGTCATGTTTTGCATTATTTACCATGTTATGATTTGAATGATTAAAAAATAGCCATTTTCCAGACAGAATTAGGTAGAATTCAGAATCATTCTATGTGTAACTGTTTTCTCCATATCCCATATGTAAAAGAGTTTTCACTGCTGTATAAGGAATTCAGGTAGTTAAGAATCAGCATCAGGTCAGCAATGAATATTAAAACACATTGCTTTAATCATTGCAACATGTGATTGCTCATTTTATTTTTTCATATTTATTCAGCTGAAAATTCAAATATATTAATAGGTTGATATCTAATATACATAATGGATATTTTAGTTAGGAATATGTGTGTATTTCTTATTGTTTACCTGCACTAATGCATAGCAATCAGAAAAAATCAGTATGTTCTGTTATATACTATCATGTCCACCGTAAGCCATGTGCCCTCCTTCCTTGAAGGTGCAGCCCCTTCAGCTCCTGAACAGGCTGTGGATAAAATGGAAAATCAAGTAAGATTGCCTGATCAACCTGATGTCCCTCCTGCTTATAATGCACATTTTGTGCCAGGTATGCTAAATATTTAGAAAACATCTTTCCCCTCCCCAGAAAAACAACCAGTTGTTAAGATTGTTCTTTAAATTAACTAATTAGTGCAATGATTCAATAAATATTGAATGCTTGTAGGATACTTCCTATTTATTAGGTGTTAATTAGAATATATGTCCATATGTATAAGTTTTACAGGCTACTAAGAAAAAATTGTTAAAACATTTATGGGGTTCTCTTCACCCTATTCTGGAAAGATGAAGAGAATGTTGTAGTGGAACAGTAGTTAGTAACTACTCCACTACAGTAGTTAATAACTGTTCCCAGAGATCTGAGGGAGAATGTAATGGCTGAAGTCCAGTTTTACTAGTGTCACGATCAAAGAAGAGGGAAAGGACTCACGCCTGACAGAAAGGATGAGATGTCCAAAAGCACATAGTCTGGTATGAGTCATGCATGGGCCTACTGGGAGGAGAAAGGTAATAAATAGAGGTAAATGAATGAGAAATAATAAAGGAACTTGTGAAAATGTTTTTACAAGTCTGAATATTCGACTTCTGATGATTCAGAGAAATGGATATTCATTCTGCTGATGAAAATTAGATACATAATCAGTCTTTACATAAAGTAATTTTCAATTCTTGAAGCTTTAAATATTGAAAATATACTTAATGTCAGTAAAGAAATAGTTGTTTTTTTTAAGATTTATTTATTTATGCATATAGAACTAGGGTACAGGCCAGAGGTGCAGGGGCGGTGAGAGGATTCACCAGAGACAGTGGGGAGCAGAACAGTCAGATCTACCAAGTACACTGCTGAGGGGAGCAGTGGGTGGGTCAGGAGAGGTCTGC